CAGAATACAGTAATACCTTTTAAAATTGGCATAAAATAAAATTCACCCTGTCTATTTTGTAAATGTATGTTATTAATCTTATTGTGAACAAATTTATCTGTGCATACGTTGAATTTTTTTATCACATCTGATTACAGTGATTTTTGTAAAACCTTGTTGTTTCTGTAATCATTGAGCTGTCCCTCTCTCTCTTTCTCACCGATCAGGCATGGCAGAGCTGGTGGGTCTAGTGCAGCGTCTGGAGGTGGCTGTGGGCCGTCTGGAGGCCATGTCCAGTTCTGGGGGTGGAGGCGGCCCTGCTGCTGCATCTGGAGGTATTAAGAAAACTGTAAACCAGATATGTCTGACAATGATTAGCACTGCTTAGTGCATAAGGGGAGTTAGGAATTTGAACTTGAGTATTTAACTTTGCCGCATAATTAGTCTCTCCTCAAATCATGCAGCTTGTTAAAGATGCATTACTTTAGTACTATTGCTAACCGTTTGAACAATGACATTGTCTAAAAAGCCCATAGCCTTACAATGAAAGAGATAAGAATATCATAATCATTATGAGTGAGATTTCTTTTGGCTTAGGAGTTCTGAGTGGTTGCTAAGACAGTAATTTACAGGTCTAAGTAAGCGCATAGTGAAACTGCCATTGTGGTATGTTCACAGATGGACTAAGTGCTTGTTGCTGGAAATGTTGTGTTGTGTCTGGTTAGGACATGGTGTAATTCTGCTCTTGTTTCTCTTCTCTTCAGCGGTTTCAGTGTATGTTGTAGCCTATGACAATTTGATCTCTGGCCCTGTGGCTCAGTACACTGCTCTCAGTCAGAAGATAGGGGGTGATGTCCAGAAGCATGTGCGTAATGCAGCACTGTCATTATAGTTCCTGAATACTGGCGCACACATCGAGTGACTCCTTTGTTTTGTGTCATAGGCTGAGTTGATGAAGCAGGCCTTTTCCTATCAAAGACAGCTCCTGGTCACTGCCTCCAGCTCTCAGAAACCTTCTGAGGTAAGTGTCCCTGCAGCATATTATGTTGAGTGTTTAAATAAGACTTGCTACTGCAGTACCATTCAAAATTTTGGTGTTGGTTCGATTTTATTAATGAAAGTTTCTTATGCTCAATAAGGCTACATTTTGTTTATCACAAATACATTCAAATCAGTAATATTGTGAACAATTATAACAAATTAAAATGTTTTCTATTTTAATATATTTTATAAATATATATATATATATATATATAATTTATTATTTATTTATTCCTG